CACCACGCGCGGCCGTTACGAGGCAGACAGGACCGTGCGGTGGGCAGCAGGGGAGCTTCATACTAGAGCAGTGGATGGATCACAAGTAAGTGACATGCTCTATAAGCAGATCAGATTTTCAAGCACTGCCCCAGGACACACCGACTGAATAAAAGAAAAAAACCCACGGGGTATAGCCCAAACCCAGACGTCCAAAATCCACTCAGCACCGCACCAGAATACACACAGTGGTAGCACAAAACACCGCATTCCACAACACCACAAGTACCTTCACTTCTATTTTAAATACCAAATTAGCTATCCCTCCCATTTTTAGCACTGCTACCTGGAATTTGGGAATACATGCTAATAGGCCAACTATAAGATCTCCCATTGACAGATATTATTTATGTTGTTTGTACTGATGGTGCAAGATGAACTGAGGGAATGGACATGCGCAATGCAGTCGTTCAGCAAGTGTATAAGCAGCCTTATGCAATAATCATTTAACTAGTTTATTAAATGTGTTTCCTTTTCAGAGTAAGTTCAACATGTAATGCCAAAAATTCACCGAGAACTCAAATAGCTTAGTAGCCAGTTATCACCTGTTTAACTTAAAGTACTGATACAGGAAATAGACATATTACACATCACTAAAATTTTCACACATACACACACACACACTTATCATCATCCTGTTTGGATCAATTTATTTTCACAAATCAATTTCCTTTTTCCTACTCATACTCTTCACATTTGCTGAAGGCACAACACCCAGATAGGCAATGTAAAATGTACTTCCCGTAGAAAAGCTATAGTCTCCTAAGAGAACAGCTTGGCAAAAATCACTCTTGCTTAAAAACTCAAGTTCCAACATGAGCCTCCAAAGAGCATCAGCAAACACTGCCAAGACTAAAAACTACTTGAGGTGTCTGCACTTCTCATATGCAACACACCACTTCGGCTTTAATAAACCAGGACTTTTCCAGGAAATTCTAAAAGCAGAAGTAGTAAAACCTCTCTTTTTTTTTTTTAATCAAGTTTTAACGATGGGACAAAGTCTCTATGCAAAGCTCCCAGAAAGAGCCAGACCACCATCTGGCTCCATCATAGAGCAATGACAATTCGTAAGAAACACGTATCTAACTAGCGCTCTGAAATCAAACGCTAGGTTGACTCCGTAAAAGTTCCATTATAGCTATGAACACACAGCTGTACGTTTCCTCCCTCCTCATACATAAATATACCCTCGGACACTTGGACACAGGGGTAAAATAAATCATTTTATGCATTTGTCTATGCTTCGCTCTTATGCCTGTTACCAATCAACATCAAGAAGTATCTTAAATATTGTACGTATTGTTAGCACTATAGAATATATAGAATATATGTAACTTTATTTTTGTTTTCACACATGCTAATGTATCCAGTATGATAAATTTCTTTTTAAATCCTGCACTTCTTGTCACGCTGTAGATCCACTTCTATTTGACACTGACTCCTGGACATACATGTCAAGACAAAAATAAATACTGCTGTGATGGCAAATATTTTAGAACTCTTAGGACACTAATACAGCGGCACTTGAAAGACTTCTTAAACACAACGAAAAAGACAATAGTTAAATAGAAACCTGCTTTGACACAGCCATAAAACCTGTACTACATTTGCGAGATCCATACTTGTTTCTGCGAGAGCAGCTCCTAATCTTTGAACATGTCAAATGTTGCACTCCAGCCCTCCACCCATACCCTTAAAAAAAGTCCACGTTGTTATTTTAAGCAAGCATCCCCTCCAGCTGTACATAAGCAACACTGTAATTCCCAAACAATTGAGGTAATTATAAAAATGAATATCATTTATTGTTTTTTTTATTACTATCATGTCTGAACATTTGCTTTCATACAAAAGTCTGATTTTCAGCATTATGCTTTCCAAGGGCATCCCCTCCACACCAAGGGAGGTAAGTTGTGTTAGGAATTGTGCAAGAGTTTTTGTTACCATCTTCAAAACCACAAGAACTCCATAAACAATATTTTGGTACAGAATCACTGCCTGGCATTTTAGAGAAGGGGAAAGGGGCGTTACACATATTATCAGTTCCACTTTATTTTTTTCTTTTTTTTTTTAATCGCATCTAATCCAATGGAAGGAGGGGGGTAAAAAACAAGAAAGAAAGAAATCATCACATTACTGTATGTTACCCTTCAGTAGTCTTTGGAGGAAATCAGAAACCAGGTCGCTTTTCCCGGCTCCCTCCCCTCACTCAAGCCAGCTGGAGGGGCTCCTCTCCCCCAGGGCCTCAGTTGCCCCCAAGGGCGGTCGGTGGCTGCCCGCTGCCCCGTCACAGCCGCGGCTTCCTGAGCAACGTTCTGCTGAGGTCCTTCACCTCTTCGGGGCTGCCGACCCTCTCGTAGCCCAGCAGGGCCATGGGCTGGTGGCAGTACTCCTCGACCTGCTTGATCTGCTGGTAGCTGAGCGCAGTCCTCCAGGCGCTCAGCGCCTGCGTGGGGTGCATTTCTTGGCCGATACCACAAAGGGCTTGGAGGAGTAGCCGGGGCCGCTGGTCATGTTAAGGGCAAACTTCTCCATCTCTGGGCTGACTGACAGGTTGACAAAGCCATACACCTGCCGCAGGGTCTTGATGGGCTCGACCACCAGGTCCTCATAGCGCACGGCCATGTAATTGCCCTGCAACCAGTCAGGGGGGTGCAAGGCAGTCTGCAGGGTCTTGGCCATGCTGCTGCAGATAACCTCCATGGCACCC